AGTGTTGAGTCAATGGAAAACAACCGAAAGACGGTACAAAGGCGATTCGCGAAGTGATGAATTCGAAGGAGAAGTACTAGATGCCTGAAAAAGATATTTATACTATAATTAGATTGGGGTTACTTTTAAGCGTTTAACGATAGGAAAAAATACAAAAATTGTGATAAACTTTATTTAAAAAAATGACTAATGGGAGTGAGGTACGAAAAATATTTGTATATTCGTGGAATGTAAACAAAATACACTGTGCACTTATAAACAAATTATACAATTTCGTTTTGTTAAGTTTATTAGTTTTCTTTGTTAAAATCATGCCACGTGAAAGCGAGTGAAAGAAATGTGAAATCAAAGGTGTTCAGCAGTTGCTGAGATTGATTGCGACTAATCTACATAATCAAAGCCCAATTGTACTCGATTGAGACTAATTCCAGAATATTATCTTTCGAGATTCGTCGCATAGGTTGTTTTTTTTTTNAACTCGATTCTGGTACATTCGTTGATCGCCTTAATGGCAGTGAAACATTGTAACGCACATTTTATTACGGTGGAAAGTGTAGCAGCTGAAAGTTTTGAAAATAATGTAGAGTTCGACGAAACTAGCTACGACGGTGAAATAGCAGATAATGGCAAAGTGTTGAGTCAATGGAAAACAACCGAAAGACGGTACAAAGGCGATTCGCGAAGTGATGAATTCGAAGGAGAAGTACTAGATGCCTGAAAAAGATATTTATACTATAATTAGATTGGGGTTACTTTTAAGCGTTTAACGATAGGAAAAAATACAAAAATTGTGATAAACTTTATTTAAAAAAATGACTAATGGGAGTGAGGTACGAAAAATATTTGTATATTCGTGGAATGTAAACAAAATACACTGTGCACTTATAAACAAATTATACAATTTCGTTTTGTTAAGTTTATTAGTTTTCTTTGTTAAAATCATGCCACGTGAAAGCGAGTGAAAGAAATGTGAAATCAAAGGTGTTCAGCAGTTGCTGAGATTGATTGCGACTAATCTACATAATCAAAGCCCAATTGTACTCGATTGAGACTAATTCCAGAATATTATCTTTCGAGATTCGTCGCATAGGTTGTTTTTTTTTTGTTCACGGAGTCAAAGGCGGTTACAACCCTGCTGACATTTTGCCTGTTAAACAATCATAGTAATCAACCACATGCCTGCAGGTCTCTGTAACCCGTTATACCAGAATACTCAGAATTTTTTGGCCCAAAAAAGTATTAAATGAGGTGTTCAAAAAATCAACATGAATCCCCGGAACCAGAGCTACTTAAAGTGTGTTCCGCAGAACCCAAGCGTTCCGTAGAAAAGTCACCGGGGTTCCGCGAAATTAATTTTGGTATGAATAAGCACGGCAGTCGATTTGATTTGCATATAGAAACACAATTTTTATAAACAGCTTGACCGAGGCGCAATTATCTATTTTCAAGTATACATACATATTTATGTACTCGTAGTTGGTATGGCCATACTGAGTGCCATACCTACATATATAAGAGCGTTGAGCTTGCGCTTGCGCTTGCTAGCTTGACATTGAAACACACAGTTGAATCTGTGTCTGTGAAAGAGTTTTGGGTTAGTGTTAAGAGTAAATGTCATTAAGTCGCTAAAAAGGCCATCTTAATTTTGCTTCCTTCTGTCACAACGTACTCTGCCAACAGGATTTTCAGCTTACACTTATAAAAAAAAAAAACAAATTCATGTCGAAATGCTTTCAGACATTATATCGAACTCGTATTTTATACAATAAGTATGTATAATATTTCTAGTAAAAGCTTTTATTCATATTTAATTTGCACTGCCTTTGATTTTTAGTAATTCGTTGTGGGGTTCCATAAAATGAAAGGTTTAGTAAGGGTTCCATCATCTTAAATGTTTAAGAACCTTCTTCCCTGAACATCTGTAAAAAAGCTAGCATTGGAAGCGGATACGCCATATAAATACTGCCTGCAGGAGTGTTGGAAAGGAGATTATGAACTGGAGCAGAAGCGTTGGAAAGGAGCAATGGGAACGTTAGCCGAACGTGGAGCAAGTAACTTCGATCGACCTGGAAGAAGTTAAAAGTGTATGCGTAACTCAAACTGAGAAAAAAGAATTAACTACCTTACAGCAGTATCTTCTTTTAGAAAAAAAAGTGATAAAATGCGATAGTGTTTTTATCCATTAAAAAGCTAAGTAACGACGAATGAGAAATATATACTGATGCGATTTAATGTTTAGCAACATTCGGAAAGAGAATCTAAAGCCGCTCAAAGGTGTACGTAGAATATATTGAAAGCGCTTTAATTCGTATAAGTTATTCGGAGTAAGAGACCCAAAAGCTTTAGCAACAAAAAATATATATAAACCATATTTTTAAGCCGAAGCTCATTGTGCTCGTTTTGTTGCAAAGCTTACATTTTGTTACCCTTTTATTTACTCTACAGGCCTTGAACTTAAATTTTATAAACGACTTGGTAAAGATGTAAACATTTAAAAATTGAACAACTGTTCTGAGAAGGAAGGTATTCTTATTTGCCAAAATAAAACAATTAAATTGGAATTTCATTTCCCCCCCCCCCGCCATATGTATATGTATGTATGTATGTATGTATGCATGTTGCAGCTAAGTACATTTAAGACCTGGAACAATAGGCTTAGAATATATGTATGTATGTATGTACGTATGTAGCTTGCAATTGCAGCATGTAAATGCATACAAATATGCCGATGACTGCAACCACTTAACTTAGTTGATACTCCGTGCTCTACAATATCATATCGATTTGAATATGCGTGCAGTCTTTCTTACGGTTTGCATAGTCCGCGCGCTGAATTTAGTCCAGTGCGTTGAAAATTCGAAAAGTGCTCTAGCAACCATAACAGTTTCATATGAACATTCATTAGGAAGACAAAAATATCAGTCGACACAAAGTGCTGGTAATAACGATTTTGATCTATCGAACGAATATTCAGGTTCGGGTGATGATGCTATTGCTGGACATAAATCTGAAAATGGTGGCCAATTGGGCTTTGAGCAAGTCGGCTATGAATGCTCTTATGAAGTAGCTATAGACTGGTTACATTCAATTCAAATAGTTGGTGCAGGTAAGCACACATAAATTTTCTAAGAAATATTAATAAAAAATGTTGAGTTTCTTATTCTTAAAAAATTTGTTAAACTTCTATAACTAGAGTTATCACGTCCCACGCAGCCAATGAAGCTATTGGAAAAGCAAAGCACAGAGAATACGAAAGAAGCAGATGGGCTTGAAATAAAAAGCTATCGCATGACTGCAACGGTTCGTCTTAGGGGCGGTTCAAGAGGCTCTAAACCGAATCGTTCGAGAAAATTTGCCACAACACCTGAGGAACCAACCTCAACATTGCAGCCTGTTATTAACAGCGCGAAATCACTCACCACTGCTAAATCTAATAAGGATGTCTGGACGAAAACAAAATATCCCAAAAAGTTTTTAAATGAAAATAAGCAGCCAGAAGAAAACAAAGAAGTAGACCTAGGAAAGAGGGTGACTGAACAAATGGATGTTTTGCAAAAACTCTCGCCTCATAAATAGGTTTTTGTAGCAAGGCATTAAACATCTATCTTAAGTGCGAGCACATTATTTATTAAATTTACTATTGGTTACAAAATTGTATACCTAGAAAAACGATACTTTTATTATTTTATCATCGCTCAGGATTTATTTTTGATGAAATTTTTCGCTAAGAAATATGAAACAAATTTTCAATTGATTTTACATCTTATTCTCAGAATCCTTTTAGCAGGAAGCACTGGTATCTGTTATGAAAATAATCTAAGGTGCGACTTTTATGCCGGAGAGTTAACTCGCAATTCGTTATCAAGCCACCTTTTCTTTTACAGAACATCATCGACAGTTAACCAACGAATGCGAATGTGGGTCTAATAAAAGAAAAATAATTTCTAAAATATTTTGTTTATTTTACATTTAATAACGTGGGACACACGGATGTGCTATTAATCTGGAACTGCGCCTTAATAAAGTAAGGATGGGGGATATCCGCTTTCATAGAGGTTAGTTTGATACTCTTCAGCTCTAGCCAGCGAGGCACAGTCAGCATTATTACGGAAGTTGCCACTGTCTCGTACGCAGCACCCCTTCTTCTTATACACCTGAGTTCTTAACTACTTAGCTATTAAATAATTATATTTGAAAGATATTTAAGGAGATTTAAGTTCGAAAATAATTTCGAAGAGGGTTGCCGCCTTTTTGAAAGTCGAATTTAGTTTAATTATACACAAGTTATATGAAATTTTTAAATATGATTATGGAGTGCTAAAAAATCTTTAGTTGAACATTTAGAATTTGTTGAGGGTTTCAGAAGAGGGTTGTCAAACGATGGGTATTAAGGAGAGTTGCCATGCCAAAAAATCAAATTCAACTTAATTCATCAGTTAGAATGTATCAAAATACCACAGGCAAAAATTTAAAAAGAGTTTAGTTTAAAAATACTTTTTAAATGGTTGCCACCTGTTTTAAATGTCGAATTTATTTTACTTATACACAAGCTAAAAGAAATATCGAAATATTAGTATGAAGCGAAAGGGGTTTTTAAAACGTTAAGCTGATATTATTTTTATTTAGGATTGCCACATTTAATTATTTTTTTGAGTTCCTCAGGTTTGCATCGTTATACTATACTTAATTCCTGCGCCGGGTATTTAAAGTTCTGCTTCGCCCGAACTTAGAATTTTTTACTTTTTGCTTTTAATTTGTGCCAGGTATTCAAATGCTTTAATAATTTAAAGTTAGTTTTAATCGAACAAATCCTATTTAATAAAAATTTTGTTCGTTCAAAGTTTTTGCATTTATCCATTCGAAATGCAACTATACTTGTATAGGGTATTTCCATTTTGCAAGTCAATGAAATTTTAAGGAAATTTCACATATAAATACGTATATAGTATGTACATAACTCAGCCAAACAGCTGCCGCTAGTGCAAACGATAAACACACTTATTCGCATTAATTTATTTGAAACTACAGTATATTTTGCTTTGCTGCCTCTATGCTTAAGTGCACATTAAAATACCTACCCCAAAATGCGCATCAAAAGCATTATTTTTTACATTTATAAGGAAACTGCTCCGATAGATTCATTCAACATACCTGCACATTGGCGATACCTGCCTTAAAAATTGTGCGACTAGTATCAATTATCAATCAAAGTATTACGTTTACCTGTACTGGCCCTACAATTACCTAATTTTACAACCTTTTATTTATTTTGTTCATCTCGCAGAACAACGAAAATGGCTATAAATTTGTGTAGTTATATAGATAATTAGATACTATTCGGTAAACATTTCGCTTGCAGTAATTTCTACATGGTAAGTGCTCCGCCAATATTTGGTTTCATAGGGATTCGGATACCTTCCTCATTGAAGTAGTAAAGAAAATTCGCTTAAGTGCCTTTTTCGGTTACGTGCACAAGTTTTTCGTGCAAAGAAGGATGTGCAGCTAAGCAAAATATACTGTATTTCAAAACGAAACGAAGTGCCGTAAAAGTGTTGACAGCCTTAGCCAATTAAATTGCTGTGCGGTGTCGCGGTGTGGGTGCTTTGCTATGAACGCCTGCATATATATGTGCATACAGACTCATATTTGTTGGTCCAAAGGCATTTACACTGCTTGCATCTCAGCCAAAAGAAAATGCCGAGATTTTGCAGCGCCAAATTTTTATTATTTACAATTTTAATGATATCGCTGGTACCGACACACATACATACTGGTACTGATGATCCTCGTGGCTTGTTTGCGAACACCTGCACTTGTTGCACTGCCGTTAGATTACAGTCATATGTAAGTGCGGGTGCTGCCATTTTATTTGTGCCGAGCAATAAATTTGTGTTAATTACAGAAAAAATAAATTCATTAAAATCATATTTATGGCGTATGTAAATGCAAAAAGATGCAAATAAATGCAGTTATTGCAATCGTAACTTGAAAATGTAATGAAAATTTTAATAAAGACCATATATGCACTTAAAATAATAAAAAAATATGTAATAACTAGTCAAATTTATTACTGCTTATGTTTATGCACTAAGTTGAAGAAAAAGAGACGTAAAACTCGCTACATGTATATAAATATGCGCCTACGAAAATAAATTAATTAACGTATAAAATCAAAATAGGAAGAATAATTTATGCGGAAGAAAATTTAGTATTTAGCAACACTTAATTTCTTCTAGCTGAAAAAAAAAAACGAAAATGGCAAAATTTCAGATTTTTATGCAGTAATACAGAAACTTTTACGTGCGTTGTCTGTTATGGTTTTGACGTATGAGCTGGTGAATCTTCTAAGCCGGACCATCAAAATTAGTACTGAGATGGACAGTGAGGGCTGACCCAGCAGGTAAAGGTCGTTTAAGACGCAGATTCGCATTGAAGCTGATGAAAATACTTCAATAAGACCAAGCAACTTAGAAAAAAAAAACCTAAGTACTTAATAAAAAAAAATACTTACATTTTTAAAACAATAAAGTCTACAAAGTAATTTTTAAGCAAAAAAAAAAACGATCAGTTCTCATATAAAAATTTAAGATCACCGTTAATTTCTCATGAGCCTCTGAGGTACCGCCTTGCCATTAAAAAAATAATTTTAGAAATCGGTTGACGTGGTCCAAAGTTATGCGGTAACATATCTGTGTTCGTTTGGAAAAGTAGCTTATGTCGAAAGGCTGGCTTTAGTATAATACGGCATTCCCTTTATTCTCTAAACAACAAGGAATTTTGGATGAGAATATTGACTTGCTAGTATCGGAACTATTTCTTGCACGTTTATTTGCCAAAAGTTTTTCAACTGCTTAGAGCCGGTGAGTCATTCGCAATCGTATGCTGCGAATGCCGATTTATACTAAAGCCAACCTTTCGACATAAGCTACTTTTCCATACGAACACAGATATATAAAAAAAAATATTCTGACGAATTGATAACCTCCTAATTTTTTTTTAAGTCGGTTAAAAATTTAAAGAAAATTAAATGAAAAATGTTTAATTTAATAGAACGAGTTTGTTAAAAAAATGTATTCCAAAAAAGTGAAAAAAATTTCGTTGGCCTCGGATTTGAGACTTGTAGCTCTGTAATGACTCGTTAGCGCTTTGTTTCTTCAGTCGTTGTGACTGTTAGTGCAACGCGATCAGAGCGTGCTTTTTTCCTTGGTGCCAGGTAAGTAATTAATTCCCTACATCTTACCAAAATTAAATAATATCTGCGTTTAGGCCTACACAGTCCTCACTGCCTCATTACAGGTCCCTCAGTTATTTGCAGGAAATGGCCAAGAATATTAAGTATGAATAGAAACTAATATCTTTACGAGAAGGTGGGACGATCTTGTTCGCCTAGGAGACAAATCGCAAAATACGCAAAAAATTATGTGGACGTAAGGAATAATCATTCCAGTGACAACTTTCTGAATCTTAGTGGTTCATTTCAACGGGCATGGAATATGAGTTCGTCCAATCTCGATACATATTATCCCAAATCACGAAACCATCTCAGTAAGTGAGGGTAGGATAGCTGAAGAGAAAATGTTCTGTAAAATCTTCATCCTCCAAGCAACAAAATACATAGTGGGTCCTCGATAATACCTGCATCTCCATGGGCTGTTTGTCACAATCAGAACTATCTAGGCTTGTGGTTCCATTCTTCTTTATCTGGCGTGGAATTTCGCCATCAGCTTGTCTAGAATTTTAGGTAAAAGCTTTCATGTTTTGAAGCACAAATATTGCATCAAAGGTTTTTATGAGCTTTACTTAAAAGACATGTGTTGTGCCTGTCAGTTCCTGATTGGCTTGGTCCAATTGACTTCGATCAAATTGGGTGCTCCAAAGAAATTGCACACTACGCATAGAGCTCTAAATTCTGGCATAACAAAGTGGTTGATATGAATTAATTTGTAATTTTATTTGCTTGACTACACCAAACTGCGCAGAGCACCAGGCTGCGCCATTTGTAATATCACATACAGAAAGATGTATGCGCTCCATGTTTGTTGAAATCATGAGCCTCTTACGAAAGTTACATTGCCCTTGTGTTGCATAGGCAATTTGGTTTTCTAATTTAAACTTTCGACTGGAGACTGTAACGTAGTTAGTATGAAACGCCTTTGATGCTGCACAGTGAATGTACAGAGGCGTTAATTTCCTCAATATGCTTATATGCATGTCCATGGATGCGATGATTAGGTATGTACCTACATACATATGTACACAGTTATGTATGCATACACCTGCAAATAAGTAATAAGTAAACC